CCCTTTCTGAAATGGGTCTCCCTCCCTGTGGGTTTCCCTAGTTCTCCCCAAGGTTTCTCACTTTTTCCCACTGGGTTTTTTAAGAGTTTTTCCTTGTCGATGCAGGAGGGTCTTGTTGGACAGTTAGTGTCCAACAGAAAGGATTGGTGATGATCAGGACACTTTAGCATTCTACAACATGTATGGACATTTTCTTCTGTGTGTGCTTTATATTATTCATGTGTTTTAACTGTTGATTCTCTGACCTGTGTTGGTGATTTCAATGGTTTTGTTAAGTCCTCTGAGATGACTTCTGTTGTGACCTAGGGCTATACAAGAATAAATTGTATTGTATTGTATTGTATTGTATTGTAAATAGAATGCACCTGTGTGTAATCAAGTCTCCATATAAATGCACCTGCTCTTTGATAGTCTCAGGGTTCTGTTTAAAGCGCAGAGAGAACCATGAAGACAAAGGAACACACCAGGCAGGTCCGAGATACTGTTGTGGAGAAGTTTTAAAGCCGGATTTGGATACAAAAAGATTTCCCAAGCTTTAAACATCTCAAGGAGCACTGTGCAAACAATTATATTGAAATGGAAGGCGTATCAGACCACTGCAAATCTACCAAGACCCGGCCGTCCCTCCAAACTTTCATCTCAAACAAGGAGAAGACTGATCAGAGATGCAGACAAGAGGCCCATGATCACTCTGGATGAAATGCAGATAACTACAGCTGAGGTGGGAGAGTCTGTCCATAGGACAACAATTAGTCGTGCACTGCACAAATCTGGCCTTTATGGAAGAGTGGCAAGAAGAATGCCATTTCTCAAAGATATCCATAAAAAGTCTTGTTTAAAGTTTGCCACAAGCCACCTGGGAGACACACCAAACATGTGGAAGAAGGTGCTCTGGTCAGATGAAACCAAAACCGAACTTTTTGGCCACAATGCAAAACGATATGTTTGGCGTAAAAGCAACACAGCTCATCACCCTGAACACACCATCCCCACTGTCAAACATGGTGGTGGCAGCATCATGGTTTGGGCCTGCTTTTCTTCAGCAGGGACAGGGAAGATGGCTAAAATTGATGGGAAGATGGATGGAGCCAAATACAGGACCATTCTGGAAGAAAACCTGTTGGAGTCTGCAAAAGACCAGAGACTGGGACGGAGATTTATCTTCCAACAGGACAATGATCCAAAACATAAAGCCAAATCTACAATGGAATGGTTCACAAATAGACGTATCCAGGTGTTAGAATGGCCAAGTCAAAGTCCAGACCTGAATCCAATCGAGAATCTGTGGAAAGACTGCTGTTCACAAACGCTCTCCATCCAACCTCACTGAGCTCGAGCTGTTTTTCAAGGAAGAATGGGCAAGAATTCCAGTCTCTCGATGTGCAAAACTGATAGAGACATACCTCAAGCGACTTGCAGCTGTAGTTGCAGCAAAAGGTGGCTCTACAAAGTATTAGCAAAAGGGGGCCGAATAATATTGCACGCCCCACTTTTCAGTTTTTTATTTGTTAAAGTTTAAATTATCCAATAAATTTCGTTCCACTTCACAATTGTGTCCCACTTGTTGTTGATTCTTGACAAAAAAAATAATTTTTATATCTTTATGTTTGAAGCCTGAAATGTTGAAAGGTTCAAGGGGGCCGAATACTTTCGCAAGGCACTTTATATGGTATCAGCAGACATACCAAGGAAGCGAGATGATCAAATGAGAAGTCAGGAAACACATTGAGCCAAAGACACTCTACGACACCCACACTGTTGATATGGCGCAGTGAAGCAGCGGCTGCAGAGTCCGAGACACTGATACGTTTTTCACGTGACCGGTTGTTTTGATACATGCTCCAACGCAGTGTTTTGAAGCAATTTGCTTCGGAGAGAGTAACACAAGCTCCGGAGCATTGGTGTCATTTGCCCATAATTATTATCTACTCAAATGTTCTAAGAGTTTCATGTGAGAAGTTTGTAGATACGGTTGTGTTCTACAGAAGTTCTCTGAGGACTCTGCCATCATCGGACTCAGCTCTGAGGACGATGACGCAGAATACAGAGGAGTAATACAAGACTTTGTGGACTGGTATCAGCGGAACCACCTCCTCATCAACGCCGGGAAGACCAAGGAGATGGTGGTGGATTTCCGCAGACATCACTCTGCTGCTCCAGCCCCAGTGAACATCCAGGGAAAGGACATTGAGAGAGTGGACTCTTACAAGTACCTGGGTGTTCATCTGAACCACAAACTGGACTGGACTCATAACACAGAGCCGCCTCTACCTGCTGAGGAGGCTCAGGCTTCGAGTGCAGGGGCCACTCCTGAAGACCTTCTATGACTCTGTGGTGGCATCAGCCATCTTGTACGGTGTGGTCTGCTGGAGCAAAAGCATCACAGAGAGGGACAGGAAGAAAGCTGGACAAGGTCATCAGGAAGTCCAGCTCAGTCCTGGGCTGTTCCCTGGACACAGTGCAGCAGGTGGGGGACAGGAGGGTCCTGAGCAAACTAACATCTATGCTGGACCATGACTGTCACCCCCTGCAGGACACTCTCTCTGCTCTGGAGAGCAGCTTCAGTGATAGACTTATTCACCCTTGATGTGTGAAGGAGAGGTTTCGCAGGTCTTTCCTTCCTGCTGCTGTCAGACTGTACAACAAACATTAAGGACCAATAAGGACTAATGAACACTGCAAACTTGATTCCAGTGTCATTCTCGCATCGTTGCAATATCCTTACCTTATACCAGAATGTGCAATACACAGCTGCCAATATACAGTTGTAAACATACTGCTGATAATTAATGTACAGTTGTAAACATACTACTGCTGCTAATGTACAGATGTAAACATACTGCTGCTGCTAATGTACAGATGCTAACATATAACTACACTTTACTTGCACTAGATTACACAGTAACTTTATACTTTCCTCTTATTTTGTCAATTTTAAATCTTTAAATCTATTATATTTTCAAGATAGAGATTTTATACTTGTTATTGATGCTAGAGTTAGATTATTTTTTATTTTGTTTAGTATAGCTATTTTTCACTTAACGTGTGCTGTGTGCTCCTCTTATCTATTGTCCTATAACTTGTGATGCAACACCGAAATTTCCCCACAGTGGGACAAATAAAGGATCTCTCAATCTTAATCTTAATCAAACAAAGTATGAAAAGCAATCATACTAATTAGGGCTATAGAGTAATTAACAAACTACTTCTAAATGATTTTAAATAATTTTGAAGTTAAGAAAAAATATTTAGTAACGTATATTTTATCATTATTAGATAAAACAAGAGGGGGGTTAATCTGGCCTAAGGGGGGTTAAAATAAACCCCGGGTGTATTCTGGCCTAGGCTATTTTAACCCCGGGGTGTAAACCGGCCAGGGGGTTTAAAACGGCCTGTTACACCGGGAAGCGCGGAGGAACGGGACTTTCTTTTGGATGGCTGTTTCGCTGTGTAAGCAGTAACCAGTGACGAAGACGAGGAAGCTTCAGGTTAGCTCCGCCGCTTGTTGTGCTAACTCAGCCGTCTATGCTAACAAGACCTATAGATTTCTCACGAAAGTAGGGGCTAGTGGTCCGCTGTGATTGGTCACAATCTGAGACCCGAAACACATTCTCTCCCTTGTTTCATCAAAACTCGATCTAAAATATAATGTCACGCCAGCACAAATCTGCGCTACTTTTTCTTCAAAAGGACGTATATCCCAATGCACTGCATGGACATGGATAGCATTTTCGTAATGAATACAAAAATAAAGTCAGTTAGTGCAGCTTTAAGTATGTATTTGGCTACAGCACCTCGCCCTGCTGACAGTCTGTCAATCCAGTTACTCATGTTTGGCCATTGGAGCGATTGACAGGCCGCACCCTGCCAGGGCTAGGGAGGTGAGATTAATTGGGTTGGTTGTGTTGTATAATTTATCTTTGTCAGATCAAAATAAAAGCCACAAATTCTACTTGCTGCTGAGATAACAGTATGGGTGATAAGAGGAAGTGGAACAAGCCTATATGAGGCAGTGGCAGAGCCCACAGACTGTCCAACGACTCGGATGAAATCAGTTATCTTATTCCACCTGGTGGAAAGTGGTCTACACATACACACTTACACTTAATTTGTGACAAATAGATTCTGGCAAACCGTACAATGCGATTGGGGGCTGTGCCAATGGAGTGGCAGACCGGGGAGGTGGTTCCTCTCTACAAGAAGGGGGACCGGAGGGTGTGTTCCAATTATCGGGGAATCACACTCCTCAGCCTCCCCGGTAAGGTCTACTGGGATCCTCTGCTGTGGGTCCCTGTATGACCGGAGTCAGAGCTGCGTTCGAATCGCCAGCAGTAAGTCAGACCTGTTCCCGGTGAATGTTGGCCTCCGCCAAGGCTGCCCTTTGTCACCGGTTCTGCTCACTGTCTTTATGGACAGAATTTCTAGGCGCAGCCAGGAGCCGGACAAAGTCCGGTTCGGAACCGGAAAAAAGGTGTGTGGAGTGGCCCTTCCTCAAGTGGAGGAGTTCAAGTATCTCGGGGTCTTGTTCAAGAGTGATGGAAGGATGGAGGTGGATGAGCTGGAGGAAGTGTGTGTGGATAGGGAAGTCTGGGCGTCTCTGCTTAGACTGCTGTCCCGCGACCCGGCAACGGATGAAGCGGAAGAAACTGGATGGATGGATGGATGGATCAAATCACCCCTTTGATAATATACTCCATACAACTGACTTCAACAACTATGGTCTGTGTGTTTTTATGTCTTTCTGAACATGCTAAAAACATTCTTAATAATAATAATAAATCGGTTTTAGTTTTGTTTTTTTGGACACTTAAAGACAGGGCATTATTCTTTACCTCCATATACAGTAATGATAAATCAAATAGAAAGATCTAAAAATAAATCCACCATTCCTATTGGGTGATGAATAGTAGCTGCATTGTTATAAAAGTGTCTAGTTTTTCCGGTTACATCAAAGCCTCGTCAAAGACCAGAGCAAACCAGATCGAAGAGGATACAGCACTATGTGGAGCGTGAGTATTATCTTTATATTAACAGCTTAAGACTTTCATGTAAGCAGTTAGTAAGAAAAGTTTTCTTAGTAGTAACTGCTTTTTAACCACTTTCTTTATCAAAATGTTATTGAAGATACATACCAGATTTCCAGGTGGTATTAGGTACTTGCTTGTGTCAAGTGTAAATTGAAAGCTTGATCCAGTACTGAGAAACATTCTAAGTCAAAACAACTGAAGAAAATGACAATTCTTTAATTCAGACAGAAGACATGTTTTATTGTCGATGGTAGAGACAGCACAAACAAAGATGAGCATATTGTTTGAATGATGAGTTTAACTTTAACCACAGATGCCTAAGTGTCATGAAATATCTAAATTCCCCCCTCTGGTCACACATTCACGTGTGATCAGGATCCATAAACAGCAATATAACATCATAACTCAATACTTCAGAAAATTAATAAACTCAGGATAATTCAATAACTCAAAACTCAATACTTTGAAAACTCATAAAACATGTTCGGATCTTTCCTAAAACTCTAAAAAAGTTACCAAACTTCCTCAGTCGATCGGGTGGTTCTCAGATATTGCTTTGAAAACAGTCTCTCTCACTTTCCGTGTTGATTTCTTCAGGCTGCATTTTTTGTGTCGAGTCATGAATTCTTCTGTGACGTGTCTTTCAAGTTTTAAATAATGCAGCTTAAGCGGAGATTCAGGATGGTAGACTTCCCCAGCCTATCATATCAGCTTCATCAACTCCCTGCCAGCCGTGTCAATCAAGCCAGCATTTAAAAGCAGAGCACAGCTCATCAAATCAGCCTCTCAGCCGCAACCACCTCTTCTCCACCCCCGCCTCAGGATTTCTTCACACGCTCACATTCACCTTGCCCTGTTGCCACCAGCAGGGATCATGATCTTCACCCAGGCGCAGATCCCCTCAGAGCCGAAGCCTCTGCGCCAAACCAATAACGAACTCTATCCATAAAATCTCTGAAACGCATCTCGTCTCTTGTAGTCTTTCCAGGTTAAAATAGTTTTATAGTTTTTTGTTTTTTTACATTATGAAGGTATTTGACACAAGGTTTACTTGTGACTAAATATTTTACTGTTTGGATTGACTCTATTAATTAATTGTATTTGTTGACGTTTTTATTTACCTGTTTTTTAATAGATTAAACAATATGGTTTACTTTTTGAATAAACTAGTTTTAGAATGAGATATAAGAGATAGTGAAAATCTTTTCAAGGGTGGGGCAAAAGTGACATTTGAAGAATGATAAAACACATATTTTTGATGGGTAAAAGGTATCACTAGAATACTCATTCCTTGTTTTATCATACATGGTTTTGTCACTTAGACGCATGGTAGTATTATAAACCATACATTTTAAAAAGTTTTTTTTTTTTTAGATTTAAGTATTCTTTTGTCTGTGTATTATAGTGGTAGTAAGATTAGTAATGTGGTGGTGATTTTTCCCTTGTTGCAATGAAAATACAAATTAATTATGGAAAACAATTGTCTTTTTCAGATTGCTGCATGTGAACTCAGTAAGATGGCAGACCCACCACCCCCAATGCAACCAGTAAGTACACTGTAATGTACTGGCCCGAGACAAGCAGCTGAGAGACAACACAAAATGATAAAGAATTTCCTTAAAGAATTAATTAGTCTAAAACTAAAAGATTTTTACCGCATAAATATATGTTTGTTCAGCACAAAGTGTCCTGTAAAAGTAAAATATTGTGAACAAATCAGAGCAGACCATGCCGTCTTCATCTTATAAAACATCTGTACATACATGAGAAGGAGCCCTCTGAGTCACTATAAGACGCTTTGGGCTGAGAGCTGATGTGAGGGTGGTCTCTCTTCCATCAGTCGTCCCAAAGGCAGCTATATGGCTACTGTTATATATTGTTATACTGTTATATTTGTTGAGTAAATCAATATCCACTCCACTTTATCTATTTGACACATTTTATAACTGTTTCCAAAGGGCTGCACAAAGGTATACTAATGTTACATTTACTCACACATAATAACAATAATGCATCCGGTTTTCTGAAACGCTTTTTTGGACACTCAAAGATGCTTCAAATGTCATCATTCATTCACTCCAAACACGGTGGTGTTAAACTACTACTGTAGCCACAGCTGCCCTGGACTGAAGCAAGGCAACCAGTATGTGCCATTGGCCCCACACTCCAACACCCAGAGGTTCCATCCCAGTACTCACCAGGCCCTGGCCCGCTTAGCTTCAGAGATCTTACAAGATTTGGACAAAAGCAAACAATAGACAAGGGATGGGGTTTTTTACTTGCATGTAACAAGGAGGAGATGTCTTTTCAGCTGCCAAGGAGGCCTGTGCGTCCTAACACAGCCAAAAGCCAAGTCCTGCTCAATGCTCTGCAGGCAGGTTATTTATTTCAGAACAGATAACCCACACCCTCACACATGGAAAAGCCAGAAAATTCTGGGGTTTCATATGACGTCAGGGCAGTGGCGTGAATAACAAACCTGGGACAGGATGTGACATACCCTGGCGGTGCAGTCTGCCGGGTTTATACGCGGAGATATAGTAAAAGAAGAAGCGCTGTCAAAATGCCATCTTTTTGTGCGGTGTACGCTTGAAGCAACCGCACAAACAGAGAGAAAGACAAGAGTTTCTTCCGTGTTCCAACTGTGGAACTATGAAAAAATCACTCGAATGAGGCGGAAGAGGTGGATCAAGGCTTTCCCAGATAGGCGCCCCCTGCAGGCCACCCAAATGAAACGCAGAAATTTCTTCTGTTTTTCTTTTCAAAAATGCCCAAAATCAAGACTCTTTTGAGAAATATTTGTTAGTACTCCCTTAGAATTGAGTGTCCCCCTCCAGATTAAGACTGTTACAACAACCATACACCGCACATGAGGAGAGCCTTTTGACTCAGACACGATTTACATGGTTTTCAATGGGAGCAAAACTGAGTTGTCCCACCTCTGCTCATTCGCCCCCTACTGGCCAGTTTAATGAAACCCAAGAAAAGGTTAATTCTATTCTCTATTCTCTATCTTGCAACATAGTTTTCACAATTTCACTCCAATTGTGGACAATATGGATATTTTTTAGCTTGGTTTCAACACCTCAATTTTAGATTTCTACACAACAATGTAGGTCAACCCAGATGACCCAGTCTAGATCGATTATATTCCCATTCATTGAAATGATAACCTAAACAACAATTCCAAACAACACTTTCACATGCAGATAATTAAAATAGCTATGAATTAATAATATATAAATTAAATATATAAAAATAAGTAAAAAGACAAAGAAAGATCACACAACGCGAGCGGTGTTAATGACACTTTGATGTATCTTTAAATGCCAAGAAAGTTACCTAAATTGCATGTTCGTTAACATGCACTGTCCATGTTACAAATAAATAAAGTAAAATAAATCTCTTGTGCAGATTGTGTACCATATTGACCATAAAATCGAGGAAGTGAAGGAGGAAGAAGAAGATGAGACAGAAGAGGAAGTGGAGGAGGAAGAAGAAGATGAGAGCGAAGAGGAAGTGGAGGAGGGAAAAGAAGATGAGGCCGGGGGCCAGCCGCAGAAAGCCAACCGAATCATGAGAGATGGAGCGATCTGCTCAATCAACATCAACACAGACCACGAAAAATGGATAGAGGAGATGATCAAAGACTATCCTGGAGCGGGCAGAGAGAGCCCCAGCCCAGGAGAAACCAAGATTAATCTAGGAGAAGGCAATGACATGACCTTATTAAGACAAACGTTTAAAAGAATGAAGCAGAATAGATTAAAAGTCTATACAACTGTGTCTGTTCCCTCGGGCAATCAGGCAATGATCCACTTTGGACACTTAAACATTAGGAGTGCAAGGCGGAAGGCTGATGAATTGAAGCGTCTCCTCCAGGAATCACACCTAGACCTGGCATGTTTTACAGAATCATGGTTAATAGAAAACTCGCCAGCTAATGATTTGGAAGTTGATGGGTTTAGGATGTTTAGAAAAGACAGAGAGGCGAAAAAGGGCGGGGGTGTGCTCTTCTATGTAAGAAACACATTAGGATGTGAAAAGATAGACCATCCATCTTATGAATTGGAATGCATTGCCCTTAAGATAACCCCTCCAGGACAAGAGCCATTTTCTGTAATTGGAATTTACAGACCACCTAATGCAAAGGTCAAGTTTTATGATCAACTTGACGAATTTCTTAAATGTTTTGAAAATGAAATTATTTTATTTGGCGATCTCAATATCAACTGGACAAATGAAAAACAAAGAAAGAACCTAAAGAAAATTGCAGATAAATATGGTCTTAGGCAAATTATAAAAGGTCCAACTAGAATAACAACAGAAACAGAGACACAAATTGATTTGGCCTTTACAAACCGTCTTGACCTGATACTGATGACCGAAAACCTACCCACTGCGATGTCAGATCATAATATAATATTGTTTACCAGATATTTGTGTAAGCCCCCAGTAGTCAAAGCAAAGGAATGGAAGGAATAGCGGGCGAATAGCGCATTTATAATGGGGGTCGACCGCGGTAAAGAGACCCAGCTTTTCGAAGTCAGCGGTAAAGAGGTCCGCACATTAAAGGGGGGTGGCCGCTTTATGCTGCTACTTGTGTTAAAAAGAGCATTGTGGCGGCTCATCCCCGCAGCTTCTCTTTCCAACGTTACTGTAGCAGCATAAACCGGCCACCCGCTTTTAATGTGCGGACCTCTTTACCGCCGACTCCGAAACAAGCGACTCTTTGAGGGCCACAGACTCTTGGAGCACTGTCCTGGTTCACATCAGAAACATTCCAACACTGACAGACAGAACAAGTCTGTCAAACTGTGGCTTATGGCTTAACCTGGCATATTTACATGGACAGATAATGATTAATGTGCACTGTCCTATTCAAATAAACCAATATGATTAGAGACATGAGGAAGTTGATCCTTGGGAAGGAGGAGTCAGTAATTCAGAAATTACTAAAAGCACAGTAGGAGGAAGAGCCTTGGCATCTGACACCCGAACCAGAATAATCAAAAAATAACAATCAGAGTGCTACATTTAAATAAAGTAAAATGCCTTTGTCTTTTTATTTTATTTTACAATGATGTAATCTCAATGGTTTCCTGTTGTGTTAGAGATTTTTTTTCCATTTTTGTTCTGACGATATTATTTAGTTCTTTATATTTTAAGTTAATTTGTTGAAGATAATTTTTGTGCTAGCTAGTGCAGATTTGATTTTGTTTGGTCTTGGGGATAAATATGTCTGTGGTGAGGGAACTTTGGGAAAACCTCTGCCTTTAGGTTTAAAAAGAAGCAATAATCACAATGATTAAATACAGTTATTTACTGTGTCATGTGTTACAGCTGCAAAAGGTATTATTTTCGGTCATTTTCTACTTTTTTTGTTATCAATTTTCCTGCATTAAATTAATAAATGGATTGGCATATCATTGAATGCCAGCCTATTTCAGAACAGGTACTCCCACAGTGCCAGCCATTTATGATGATTTTTACTGATTTTTCAAGACCCACAGAATATTGTGTACTATGACTATCTGAAATCCGACACCAGATTCTAAAAGAATGGACTGTCTACTTTCCTCAGCAAAAAGAATTTTGTTTATAGCTTTTTTCGTTCCCCTGTAATCCTCCGTTGAGTAGAGGGAAGTTTTACTGAAATCACCAGAAATCACCAGAAAGTTGTGAAAAAAGAGGCACAACATGTGCACCTACATGTTTTCAAACCATTCAGAAAGCAATGCTGCCACCTGCTGGCTCGATAAAATATGGTCTCAAGTCATCCCCATACATATTAGATACAATAGACATCTGGGAACGTGAAAATAGCGAAAAAGGCATTTGACGTATTAATGCGTCAATGGGACACAATTCATTTTCATCGTTTATAATTTATTTGTTGTTATTTCTTGTTTCCAGTGACACTGAAAGGCAGGTGTCATTTTTCTGCATCAAAGCACCACCGCATTATGTTTGCCATTTTCTTGGACAATAAACTAAAATTTCCCTTTTTGTTTGGACATTTCATTTTTCTCCACTGTGTAAAGCCATCCTGACACACACTAAAGTGGCTTTGGATTTGTTTTGGCTAAAGTTAAGAACAAATCACCATTACAGCATGATTTCCTGGTTGTAGGACTGACTTTTAGGGTCATCAGTGAAGTTTGAGGCCGTGAAGGGAGGAAATAAGAAAGATGCAAAAATAAGTATGTTAAATATAAACAAGCAGCTTAATAAGACAGCTCTCTTCTAATAAAACAAAATCAGTTCTACTTTGACTTTGACCTTTTTACACACACTTTACACCTGGCTTTGGAACTTTTGATTTTTGCCAAGAATGATTCCTATAAGTCCATATTCTCTTTCACATCTTCATTTATTAAATCATCTACTTACCTGAAACAAATTGATTTAATGGTTGAAATTTAATACAGAAACAAAAGAAAACTTTTCTTGACATTTACAGTTAATTTGGGGTTAGCCAGGTCGAAATGATTACAAAGGCTTCTGTCAACTGCTGCCACCTATAGGCAAGGCAAGTTTACAGCACTAACCCTAAGGCAAACAAGATAGAAACAATAATAAACAATATCAGTACATTAAAAATAGAAAAGATAAAACCCTTCAGTTGTTGCAGTGAAACAGAACTGTTTTTAACCTGGATTTGAACATTGTCAGAGAAGAAGCCTGTCTAATATTTTCAGGAAGAATGTTCTAGATTTTAGCTGTGAAAATCTGTAATGCATTTTTAACATTCTGACCAGAATCTGACCAGTGGATGACGGAATCCGGCTAGTTAAATTCACAAAAGAAGCACCATTTATAAACTTGATCCTGTTCTATCAGATGGATTGCTTAGAGTAAGGAGAAAAAAGTTTTCACATCATCTCTATTGCTGAGACACATTCATACAAAAGATGGACACTGTAGAAGAAATGACGTTCTTTCTCCGATATGCAAAGAATATTGGGTGATAATAACGGCTTATCAACCGAGCACGAGGTCTTTACATTAAGGCCACGGTCTGATATTTCTCTGTACAGACCGAGCAAGCAAGGTTAATAAATGTTTTATTATATGACTCTCGTCTGTGTCTTTACCAATGCTTTTGAGATATTTGTGAAGTATGTTCATGTCCGACTTGGTTTTGTGTGATACGCGCTGCGGACAGATTGTCATGGTAACGGTCCGAGATGGGAAAATATCAGACCGGTAATCAGCCAATCAGAGCGCGCGTACGGTCCAAGTCATATAATAAATGCCAATACTCTTGCCCACAATATTATTTCTATTTATGAGTCCACTGCAGGCGAGTAACTAACTAAAAATGGCTGATTTGCCACAACTCTACCAGACCTCCCTTTTACTAAAGTTGGCATGGACTACTTTGGGCCAATAGAGACAAAAAGAGAGAGTTTAGTGAAACGCTAGGATGTTATGTCTCTCATGTAGAGCTGTACACATTGAAACTGTTCCCTCGATGCAGACTCTTGTTTTCATGCAATAAGGACATTCATATGTGGACCAAGTCAGGTTAAAACCATATGGTCAGACAATAAATATTATTATTATTCAATAATCATTTTGTGGACATTTCTTATTTTTATGTGGAGCGTCAGGCCCTTTTTATTGCTCAGTCACTAGACATAAAGGCGTTTTTACAGTGGCAGTAATAGTAAGCCTGACAAATGTCAAATTCAGATCTGAGACACTGGTGCAGCTGTTTGCTCTGAGAAGTGAGGCTTATGTGATTGTATGTGTTGTTTTGTGTTTTTATGTGATGTGTTTGTCTTATCCTGGACAATGAGTCTGTAATAAAAGTTTGATAATGATGTTGACGAGTAGTAGTAGTAGTAGTAGTAGTAGTAGTAGTAGTAGTAGTAGTAGTTGTCGGTCCAGGTGTAGATTCAGGTGACCTACGCCCACAAGGACAACTGATTCAAATGTTGTGAACATTTTAATAGTCAAACTTTCAGATCCGCGGCTCGTACATATTTTAACCAATCACATTTCTTAAACAAATCAGAGCATACTTTGCATACTTAGCACTCTGAGTCACAATAAGACGCTTTGGGCTGAGAGCTGATGGTCTCCCTTCCATCAGTCGTCCCAAAGGCAGCTCCATTTTAACCAAACCAAACCGTTTCCAAAGTGCTGCACAAAAACATTCACTCACCCGTCTGCCACAAAACATTTCAACATGAAAGATAATTATAATAATAATAATAATAACGGTTTTATATAGTGCTTTTTTGGCCGCTCAAAGATGCTTCACATGTCATTATTCATTCACTCCATACACGGTGGTGATAAACTGCGACTGTAGCCACAGCTGCCCTGGGGCACACTGACTGAAGCGAGGCAACCAGTCTGTGCCATTGGGCCCTCTGACCACCACCAACCATTCGCACACACACCAGACTCATTCTAATGTGAGTGAAGTGTCTTGCCAAAAAACACAACTTTTGTGTCGGCTGTGGCTCTAAAGTTTGATTTACAGAGGTCTCCCATCACAGCACTAACCAACCCTGCCCTGCCTAGCTTCAGAGGTCTGACAGGATCTGGCTTTCACATGCAGTCAATAAAAGTACGAATTAATTAATTATAAATGAATTATTAAAAATAGAAGTCAGTGAATAGATAATAATCATTCAAACAGACATAGTAAGACAACAGGGGCCACACAACTCAAGCAGCGTTACTAACTCTTTCAATAACAAGAAAGTGCTTTAACTGAATCCTTTCATCTCTCTTGAAATTGTGAGATTTCATAATTTCATAACACTTTGAAGCAACTTTTGTTAAAGTTAAACTCAT